TCTCTCTCTCTCTCTCTCTCTCTCTCTCTGTGTGTGTGTGTGTGTGTGTGTGTGTGTGTGTCTGCGCGCGTGTGTGTACATATCTCTCGCCTCTTTGATGTCTCTCCGTCTCCCTCTTTCGTCTCTCCTTATCTCTACCTCTCAGCCTTTTTCCTTATAGACACACGCACACTCACCTATGGACGGTGATCCTTGCCAGCTGCAGCTAGCCTCCTATGAGCAAGCAGCCCTTATAAAAACCACCACCGCCTTCGCTGTCGTCCTCGTCTTCTCTCTCTCCCTCCTCCCAATCACCCAATCGAGCGCAACTGATCGCAACCGAGCGGAACTCAGCGCAACCGAGCACAGAACTGAGCGGCGCAATCACACTGCATATCAGCCTGCGGCTCCGAGGATACAAAGCTCCCTGATTGATCATCACCTATCTTTCTCCAGGCGACAACTAACTCTTGGATGGCCTTGCCACCCACACCCTGTTATATAATACCGCAGTGCAGCTAGGGGTACTACCGGTAGGGTAGTGCTTCGAAAGATCAGAAGAGAGAGCGGAGCATCATGTAGTACTAGACACTACCAGCGATACCAGGGCCCTCGAATGAGAGGGCTAATCGCCCCACTAGCGGCGCAGACTTCCTTCTCGACGTACTTGCGGTCAGATTCGTCCAGGGCCCTGAAATGGCAGGGATACTACTAAAGCCCCACCGGGGGCGCAGATTCCTTTTTCCCTCCTGCCCCCATCACTGGAGAGTGTTTCAATCTGTTTCCAGCTTTCAGGTCAGGGATACTCACACCAGGACTCTTTTGCTTTATGTCTGGATGTCATTGCGGTCCGATTCATCCCGGTTGCGGCTGAAAATGCGTTAGATTCATTTAGGATAGTGCAACCATAGCATGAGTCCGCCCTCATCAGAGGGATCAAATCGGAGGTCGGCAACTCGGTAGTGCCGGTCAATCCCGATAAGTTGCGCTCCGTTCCGCTTCGCTCCCCTCAGCTGCGCTTATTGTCGCGTGAGTGAGGTTTCGCGTTCAATTGCGCGCAGTCCCGCTGGGTTGCGCGAGAGGATCAGCTGTCAAGTCCTCTCAGTTTCGTGGAGAAACTGGCGTATGCAAGCACTTAGCTTGGGATTTGTATTAATATCCATATGTGTGTGTGTGTGTGTGTGTGTGTGTGTGTGTGTGTGTGTGTGTGTGTGTGTGTGTGTGTGATGATGTGATGATGTGTGTGTGTGTGTGCGCGTGTGTGGGTGGTTGGGTGTGTGTGCGCGTGTGTGAGTGGGTGGGTGTGTGCGCAGTGGTGGTGGAGTACTCTACGGGAGAGTAGACTTTCATGAGCACGGTGAGCCTTCTCCCCCCATGCACCCCCTTTGCGATCTTCGCTGGGCCCCATGCATGAGCCTCCACACCATTACAACGACGCTGCATCGAAACGTGTCCTTTTCTCCTTTTCTTTCTTCTTGTTAGTCATACTCGTACTCTGGCCGTGATTGCGGCAAGATTCATCCAGGTCTGACCGCAATTGCAGTCAGATGCATTCTGGAAAGTGTTAGTGTGAGTATGCCTAATTTATTTTGTTGCTTTCTCCCTTTCTGCCTGCGGTTCAGCGGGCAAGACTCAATCACTCTCTCTCACTCTCTCTCCCCCCCCCCCCCCCCCCCCCCCCCCCCCCCCCCCCCTCCCCCCCTCCCTCTCTCTCTCTCTCTCTCTCTCTCTCTCTCTTTTTTTTTCTCTCTCTCTCTCTCTCTCTCTCTCTTTCTGCTGATGTCTCCCCCCCTCCGTCTGTAAACTATTGCGAGCCTAAAACGTGTCCACCTGCCCTTCAACAGACTCCAGGAACTTCCTACATTGCTACGGCACGGAGGGCAGAGGTATCCCTATCAAGTGTCATAACGAAAAAATATCTGGTTTCACGCGCAACGAAAACATGGATCAAGCCAACCTACCACAAAAGGCAGTAAGAAGTAGTGAGGTTACGAAAATTAGTAGGGATGTATATTTAGTCATTGGTTGGAATGTTGGTTCCGGTTCCAACTGCCAAAGCGAAGCCGGGTAAGGCTCCCGGTAAGTCTCTTGGTTCCTTTTTTCTCCGGGTAGACTGTGGGGACCCCGGCCCCTTCTGTTACCTTCATTCGTATAAGGGACGCTGGGCCCGCTTCCCAGCTGGTGTGGCTCCCCACAAATAGATCGGAGCATGTTTTCTTCAAAAAAAAAAAAAAAAAAAAAAAAAAAAAAACATGGATCAATATGACCGTCACTTTGGGCCTCGTTCGACACCACTTGAAAATACTTGAGTTTCTAGGGCACCCTAACTCACGGAAGGTGATTAATTTCCCCGAACTTGTTTTTTCGTTCCACAACCCCTTGACGACACCCTTGAGACGGCCGTCCTTGAAACTGAAGCGCTGACGTCATTGCACCACGAACAGTGGTGATTGGTGAAAAAAAAAAAGAAAAAAAGAAAAGGGTCCATATATTACCCGTTTTGAAGGGTGAAACCCTTGCGCCCCAAGTGACCTCCCAAGGCACCCTTGGGATTTTCGTCTATTTGCCTGGGCGGCACTTCTGTTTCAAGGGCGGACACTTGGCCGCGGGGATGTGGAAACAATTAGCGACTTCAAGGGTGAGTGATTAGGGCGGGGTCGAACGACGCTTCATTGAAAAATAGCAATTTCCAAGTCCGGTCGAACGAGGTCCTTTGGCCATACTCACACTAGGGTAGGGCTTTTTAACTTACTTCTGGGCGTGACTGCGGTCAGAGACATCCAAGTAGGGCTGTAATTACAGTCCAATCGTGCTAGCGTAAGGGCCTCGCCACACCACTCTCTGAAATGTGCAAAAGGAGAATGACCGCCACATTTTTGTCTTTCTCACTTTTTTTTTTCTTTTTTTTTTTTGGGAAAAAGCAAGGAATCCATTATCATGAAACATGAGGCCGGGAATTCCTCACAAACAACCCGGAACAAACATCCTCACAGGCTGGGACCATTACCCAGTGTAGGTACGTGGGCCTTTCGCCCAACAACAAGTGGCTGAGCCAACAAACTGACACCAAACAAACAGACGGGGCCGTACGGCTACCCAGAAAATACCTAATCTACCACTGTTTAAGCGGCCTCGGTACAACCAAAGCCCATGCAACCTACCCCAACTTATCATACTGTAACCTTACCCTATTCGTTATCCCTCCACTATCTGTACTTGTCTACAGCTAGTAATTCCTAGCTGAGGCCCTGCCTACTAACGGCAGGGTGGACCTTACTGGTCCTTCCCACCTTGGCCCTCTCAAAACTCTCACAATCCCTCCTGCCTCCTACTGTGGATAAAACAACCGAGTGCCCTGGTTGGTCCCCGAATCCCAGCCTCTCTACCCTCATTAACCCTATTCCTACTGTCTACCTCTTATCATTCACTTCTACCTATGCTCCAAGGATGAACCACTAAAGTTGAGTTTCCATTGCAAGAGCATCTTGCCTTCATTACACAGCGGGAACAGATATCTCTTCTAGATACTTAGGCTGCAAACCAATAGTTGTGATTTCCAAAGCTGCTAGGCTGGGTGCTATTTAGCTGCTCAGCCAGGTCGAGAATCTCAGGAATTTCCCATCCTCCACTGAGACCAGGGTTGCTTTGTTGGCCCATGTTTCGGCAAACCATCGAAGACCCTTGCCTCTGTCTGAAGCTTTGAGCACTTTTCTCCTCCAATCCGCCTGAATTGCAAACCGGATATGGGATTTCACTGTGCTGATCAATTCCTTGTCTGTTGTTTCCTCCTCCTTGAAAACCTTTCTGTTCCTTCCCTGCCAGATCGACCAAAAACCAATTGCTCAGATTGTCTGCGCTATGTAGCCCCACCCTACTTCCAGCCTCAGGTTGTCTGGGACTCCTCCCAGAAGAACCCAAGCTTTGTCCCAAGCCATCGCTTTGTCAGAGACATTGTCCCAATGCTTTGCAAGCCACTTCCAAATCCGGGTCGATGCTGGACAATCCCACCAAAGGTGTACCGTGGATTCATATGCCCATTGACATCTTTTACAAGTGTTGTTCACTTGCATACCCCTCTCCGACAGCCACACTGCTGAGGGGGTTGCCACCATCGAGGCTAACCAGAGGACAGCTACCATTCTCTGCGCAGGCACCTTTTCCAATTGTTGCCAGCAGCGCTGAAGAGCCTTCACCACTGTGTCTGGTTCCATGCGCGTAACTCTGACCCATCTATCTGTGGCCACTGTGCGAGGAACTTTCTCTGGTTCTTGTAACCTGTACCCCAGTCTTGGGGTATACTCCGTGAGGGGCAGGTCTGTTCCCCCTTGTCCCCTGCCTCTCCAGCCCCACTGGACTGGGTCTGCGCGGAGCTGGAGAATTGGTTGTCCACCAGCGTGCAACTTCATAGTCCACTGATCTGGTTCCTCAAACTGTTCGAAGACTCTGACCTGTGCTAAGACTGGGGTGTGTGTGTGGCTTCTCTTCCTCCTCTTTTGCTTCTGTGAGCGACCCCATTGTGGTCCCATCCTTCCTCCACTGCTGGAAACGTCATCTCCCATCCTCTTCATATTTCACCAGTTTCCAGAAGTCTCTGTATCGGTTTCCATTCCATTTGTGCACCAGGTACCAGGCGGGTCTACTCCCTCCGGTCTCAGGATACAGTGCCACCGCTCCGGGATGGCTTGGATTAAGGATGCAAGTTTCCCCTCCACATCTCTCAAGTTTCCCAGTCTTTGTT